AGAGAGAGAGAGAGAGAGAGAGAGAGAGAGAGATCCAGTGGCAAGAACAGAAACCTGGAGGGCAGTATCCGCAGAGGACCTGGGGACGCAACCCTGGGCCTCTATCGGCCCGCAGGTACAGGAAGTAGAGGGAAAGTAGAGTTCCGGGAGGCTGCACTGTGCCGGGGGAGTTGTGACCCGAACCTGCGGTGCATTCGCAGGAGGAACAAGTGTGGAGAAGCTGTGGCCACGAGGCGCAGGGGCACGGGGCGTAGGGCCAGAGGCGCCAGAGCGACTCTTCCATCCACGCGACCGTCAAGCGGGGCTGCGGGTGCAGGGCACAGTTCAGTTGGCCGGCTTCTCTCTAGGATCTGCTACTAGACGGTCCCCAAGATGAAGGGGAACTGGGGCGGGGAAGGGTAGAGCAGAGACGTGGAGTATCGTTTGGCGCCTCTGCCAGCCCTGACTTCAACCACTACGTGAAGGATCGGTCCCAACCCGGATCCAAATTCGTTGAGGTAAAGCAGATTTGCGCTCGGTGTCTGCTCCACCCACTCTACCTCAGTCCAGCAGGATCTACGTGCTCCTGCCTTCAGGGCTGCAGACAGGACCCAGTTTCTTTGAGGAAGGTGGTCTGTAATTCTTACATCCTCCCTGCTGCTTATGTTACTATGAAAACTGGCAGGCATCAGGATTTGTTCAGACTGTCTGTCTGTCTGTCTACCATCTATCTATCGCCCATCTTTATGTCTTCCCTTTCTTCCTTCCTTCTTTCTTTTTCTTTTTTCAGACAAGGAATGTAGCCCTGGCAGGCCTGGAACTCACTATGTAGACCAGTTTGGCCTCAAACTCAGAGATCCTCTGGCCTCTGCCCCTGGAGTGCTGGGATTAAAGGCTGCAACACCATACCTGGCCTTAATTATTTTATTTGGTTTCTATGGTATATTCTTTGAAATACACCAGAACTTTGTGTCTATGTGCATCATACAAAGACAGAAAGAAAAGAAAAACAAAAACAAAAACAAAAAACAAAAAAAAAAAACCCACTTTCTTTGCCAAAGATTTTATGATCAAAAGAAAAAAAGTGACACAGAAAGGATACCATAAAAGCAGGCCAACCCTGCAAAACACAAAACACAATGTCGATTTTGCATCATGGTAAAGCATTTTAAAATGGACAGATAGAAAAAAACAAACTCCTTTAAAGGAGCACATTAGAAAAAAATAAATTTAGCATCATGCTATGTCCTATAAAATGAGGGATTGGGTAGGAAAAAGAAAGGTAAGAAACAACTTAGAAAAGAAGCAAATAGAAAATGTGAGTTGAGGGAAAGACCCTAAACAAAAAAAAAGTCCAAAGGTTGCTCATAAAGTAGACACAACCACAAAGGGCTGTGTGTCTATATAGGGTTTTTTTGTTGTTGTTGGGTTTTTTGTTTTGGTTTTTTGTTGTTGTTTTTGTCTTTTTGAAGCAGGGTCTCCCTGTAGCCCCAGCTGTCCTGGAACTCACTATGTAGACCAGGCTGGCCTTGAACTCACAGAGATCTGCCTGCCTCTGCCTCCCAAGTGCTGGGACTTCGGGCGTGGTGGCACCCGGCTTATATAAGGTTTTAAAGGGAGTGTGTGTGTGTTAAGAAAAGTGGAAAAGTGGGAATAGAAACACAGTCACTAATTCATTAAGAAATACTTAATCTTAATTTTATATTATAAAATTTCTGCTACCCGGTCACATTTGGCAATGAAAGTCACATTGCAGACTTAGACAATTATAGGTATAAAACATGGGCTCAAAGTATAGCTAAGTGAAAGGCTTTGGGGTTCAGCAAACTTGTCCTACTTCCTTTACTTCTCTTTTGTCCTCTGGAAATTTACCTTAAATTATTTAAAATTTCCCCAAGGCATAGTTTTCTTATCCTTATATAGTCATAATTGTTTCTACTTTGTGGACTTGTTTGAGTTTCAGACAAAATGTAAGTCATCTGCCCCAATGCTTATGTCTAAGTGCGTAGTGGGCATTATCATTATTATTAGTTTAGTTTAATTATATTTTAAAAATCTTACTAGGTTAAAGATGATGACCTTACTAGGTTTCAGGTAATGGTACCAGTTCCTCCCTTGGCTTTCTAGAATCTACCATGTGCTTAACTTAAAGCATGTGTGTGTGTGTGTGTATGTGTGTTTGTGTGTGTGTACATGCAGATACATGTATATTATAAATATAAAGGCACATATCTTTTTTTAAATTTTTTTGTTATTTTTTAAAATTTTATATTTTTAATTATTTTTATTTTTTTATGTGTATGCATGTATTGCCTGCATGTAGGT